ACACACACCAGCTCATTCACTCACACATGCTCACACACATTCACACAAACTCACTGACACACTCACACACAAAAACTCTCTCACACACACTCAAGCACACACATTCTCACACGGCGGGGCGAATCCCACAGCCATCTGTACTACTGTAGCAGGAGTCACACGGTTCCTAGCTCTTCTCAGAGGGGTTCCTAAACCAACGTGAGAAGCTAACAAAAGATTGTACAGTCTATAGCCTCCAACGGAAAACAACTCACCATCTAGATTCTTGAATTGCAGAACAGCTGACCAGGCTGCCTCTTGCAATGTAACAAAACAGGTTCTTGGGTCACCTCAAACACGCCGACAGACTACAGAGTGAGCAGCACTCTGCTTCCCTCTTGTGGCAGCCTGGGGAACTGCAGTATCAGTCTCCACAGCTCAGGGCACCTACCTCAGCCAGCATAACCTCTTCCCTCAGGTTGTCGTATCTTTGCTCCAGACGGCCAAAGTCCCTCAGCAGGCCCTGGTACCGCCTCCTCTCCTCCTCCAGCTCGGCATGCAGAGAGGAGCTGGAACGCGCCACCTGCTGGGCCACCCGCTCTGTCGCCGTGCACACAGACAACACAGAAGCACGGTCAGGCACAATGACCCAGCAGCCCCAGGGGCAGACTGCCGCCTGTCCACACTACTACAGAACCGTGTTTCACAAAGTGCTGCAGGAAGCCGATTAGGTGAGAGAGAAGTTCGGGGAAAAGTGTCAAAAAACAGGAGAGAAACAGGGAGATGCAGGGGGGTTTGAATGAATACACACAGACCGGGCAGGTGAATCGGAGTTCCCTCCCAGTCTGCACCAGTGCCCTGAGGTGCAGGACAGCTTGAGAAAAAGACAGGTGGACAAGCAAACAGAAGGATAGGTGAAGAAACAAACAGGTAGACAGTCAGACTGGTGGACAGGGGGAAAGGGAGACAGGGGAACTGGTGGAGACGTGGACGGGTGGACAGGTGGATGGGTGGACAGTTGAAAAGGTGTACAGGTGGACGGAGGGAGAAGTGGCCTGAAAGACTGCTGGAACAGGTAGGCAGACTGGTGAAGAGTGGGACATACCCTCCAGACTGCTCTCCTGCACCAGGACACGGGTGCACAGAGCCTCCCTCTCTGCCTCCAGAGCCGCCTTCTCCTCCCGCAGGGCCTGGACCTCCTGAGAGACAGCGAGGAGCAGAGCAACAGGGAGGGTCAGCGGCCGGGGCTGGAGACAACAGCTAGAAAATGTCCAACTGCCGAAGCCGTTGGTCCGAGTAAAGGCGCAGTCGTGTAAAAGCAGACCAGGCTGGAAGTGACGAGCTGTCCACCTGCATGAGCCGGGCGATCTCCTGCGTATCCCTCTCCGCCGCCTTCCTCCTCTGCTCCTCCTCCTCCTGCTGTCGCTGCTCCTGCAGCCGGGCGAGGGCTGAGCGCCCCTGCCCCTGCTCCTGCAGCCTCTCCAGCGCCCCCTGCAGCCGGGCGAGCTCTGCGCGGTGAGCCGCCCGCTCTGAACCCAGGGCCTCCCTCAGCAGTGTGCTCTCCCGGGCCTGGGGGTCAATCAACAGCTTTTCTCAAGCAGCAGAAGAGAGGAAGCCAGCTGAAGCAAACCCCAGGGTAGTCCTGCGCCTGTTCTAGAGAGCCCAGAGAGCACAGAGGCATCTCCTCAAGACGTCAAGGGGCTTTCCAGCTGAGTGCTTGGTTAATAGTCCACATTTCATCCAGTCTGAGATAGACCAGCCTAGCTTCTCTCACCTGGCCTCTGCCCTCTAACCCCAGTCCCTGTGCCCTCTGACGCCAGCCCCTCTCAGCTGCCCTGTGCCCTCTGCCCTCTGCCCCCAGCCTCTCTCACCTGCCCTCTGCCCCTCTTACCTGCTCTGTACCTTCTGACCCCAGCCTCTAGCACCTGCCCTGTGCCCTCTGACCCCATTCCCTGTACCCTCTGACCCCAGCTCCTCTCACCTGCCCTGTACCCTCTGACCCCCGCCTCTTGCACCTGCCCTGTGCCCTCTGACCCCAGTGCCTGTTCCCTCTGACCCCAGCTCCTCTCACCTGCCCTATGCCCTCTGACCCCAGCCCCTGTGCCCTCTGACCCCAGCCCCTGTGCCCTCTGACCCCAGCCCCTGTGTCCTCTGACCCCAGCCCCTCTCACCTGCTCGTCCGCTCTGCGCTGCAGCTGGATGAGCTTGACCTCCATGCCCTTGTGCAGCTCGCGGTACCTCTCCACCGACCGCGCGGCGGCCCTGCGGCGCCTCAGCTCCCGGCGGGCGCAGAGCCGGCGGTAGCAGCACTGCAGGCACAGCGCCGCCTGCCGCACACGCAGGAAGCCGCGGCGCGCCAGCCAGCCACGCACTCGCGCCTGCAGCACTGTGGCCGCGCAGTGCGCCACCAGCTGGACAGGAGAGAGAGAGACTCCCGCTCAAACTCCAGCAGCATCAGGACTCTGGCAAGCTTCACAGTTCAGAGATGGGGATTATTAGGAGGCCATGATGGGTAAAAGCCAGGGGGAAAATTGGACACGATACCGCGGTAACACCCCTACTCTTTTCAAGAGACAACCTGGGATTCTTAATGACCACAGAGAGTCAGGACCTCGGTTTTAGAGCTCATCCGAAGGACGGCGTCTTTTTACAGTACAGTGTCCCCGTCGCTATACTGGGGCATTAGGACCCACATGGACTGCAGGGTGAGCGCCCCCTGCTGGCCTCACTAACACCTCCTCCAGCAGCAGCCTCAGCTTTCCCAGGAGTCTCCTCTCCAGGTACTGGCCAGGCTCACGCCTGCTGGGCTCCAGTGGGCGGCCAGCTGGGAGCTGCAGGGTGACAGAGCTGCAGGGGGATTATTTTGGCATCTCTGGTTTGGAAACTCTGGAAGAGCGTCCCCTACCTACTGTTCCACCAGCACTAATTGCAGCGGGAAACTGTAAGACCCCTGTCCCGGTTCTGACCCTGGAGGCCTGGCCCGGCTGGGTTTTCGAGACTCGTTGAGATCGGGCTACAGGGAGTTACCTCTCCTGCACGCTACCGCCCCCTACCTGTCTGTAGGCTCTGCGCGCGAGGGCCCCACGCACGGCCGCCTGGATGGTGACGGCAGCCGAGCGAAGCTGCAGGTACAGCCGGCGCACCTGGACCATGCGGAACGTCCTCTGGATCAGGAGCACTGCCCGGGACACCCGGAGCAGCTGGGCCAGCCTGGAACATCATCACAGTCATCAGCCAGAGTGCACCAGTCTGCTCCCCTCACACCAGCTCTCAGTGGGGAGGAGAGCAGAGTGATGAAGCCAGTTCAGAGAGGGGGATTATTAGGAGGCCATGATGGGTAAAGCCCAGGGGGAAATTTGGCCAGGACACTGGGGTTACACCCCTACTCTTTTCAAGAATTACCCTGGGATTTTTAATGACCACAGAGAGTCAGGACCTCGGTTTTCTGAAGGACAGTGCCTGTTTACAGTACAGTGTCCCCGTCACTATACTGGGGCATGAGGACCCACACAGACTGCAGGGTGAGCGCCCCCTGCTGGTCACACTAACACCTCTTCCAGCAGCAGCCTCAGCTTTCCCAGGAGTCTCCCCTCCAGGTACTGGCCAGGCTCACACCTGCTGGGCTCCAGTGGGCGGCCAGCTGGGAGCTGCAGGCTGATAGAGCCGCTGGATCACACAGGGAAGTTACAGTACAAGGTAAAGCCATAAGGCTGGTTCATTATGGTTAATTATATCTAAACATTGAGGCTCGGAGCACTGTTCTGTTCATGTGCAGTACTGCAGGCTGGGACAGGAGCATCTGATCATGGGTCGTGACCTACCAACAGATCTTGGGGCGAAGAGGTACTTGTTTCGGGGCTCACCTCCTGGCTAGGGCTCCCCGGATGTATCGCTGCAGGGTGAGGGTGGCCTGACAGATCAGCCCGTACCGGCGCCGGCCCAGCCAGCCCCTGACCCGGCTCTGAATGGTCACGCAGGCTGTGTGCAGACGCTCAGCACGTAGCCTCTCCAGCAGGGCCACCTGTCCGGCCCGGAAGAAGATCTTGGTTTTGCCGAACCAATACTGATCCGAGTCCGATATCAGCTCCCCCAGGGCCCGGCGGCACACAGCCTGCTGGTCCCCGTGACCCGCCTTCCTGTCACGAATCAGAACCCTGTACCGGCTGAAGAATTCTGGGTAGGACCACCTGTAACCCCAACAGCAGTAGTTTCTGGTTAACTTTACTGTTGACAATATACAGAAAACACTAGATCAGGGGTGACCAGCCCCAGTCCCTAGGAGTCACCCCAAAATCTCCAGAGTCTCAAGACTTGTGTGGTTTGTTCTGTTTGATCTGTTAGTTTGTCTCTTTCCATCTCTAAACTGTCTTATTCAGAGTTCCAATTCATCAAATCATCCTATTGCCCAGTTTGTTTATGGTCTCTGCATACGGTCTCTATTATTCACTCTCTGGAGTTGTCTGCTGTACTGTGTGGTGCTGTCTGTTGTAC